TGAATTTTAATCATTAAATAAAAGATATTAAAGAATTCATATAAATTATCAATAAATTTCCTATTCTATTATTTTACGATTATAGTTGAAAATAATACATATTTATGTTTTTTTTATTTATATTTAAAAACTTTAATGAAAAAATAAAATGTATATATTTTTTATTTATATGTTTTTAAAAATAATATGTTAATTATATATTATTTAATTTATTATAATTTTTAATTCGGTTTAAATAATTGTATTTTTTGTGTATTATTAAAGCACTTTATAAATAAGTCTCATATAATAAATTTTTCATTATTTTGATAATATAATCTTTATTTTATTCCTTATTATATATATATATAATAGTATTTTTTTTCTTAAATTTCTACAAAATTTTCTATTTATTTTAATAATTTTTGTTAATGATAAGTAATATTTTCTTAGATTATCCTAATATTGCATATATATTTTTTTGAACTTAATATTATCCTCTAATTTTTAATATTGTAACTTTTGTCCAATAAATGAAGTTCTATATCATATATATTTATAATTTATATTAACATATATATGATCCTTCTTTCGTATCTTATTCGAATGCATATCCATTTAAATAATCCATAACAATTTTAAATAGTGTATTATTGAATTTATCTATTATTTTTTTATACTATTTTTCTCTTGATATATTTGTTTTATATAATTCTTTACCTAATAATATATCCTAATTTTGTTTTTATATATGTATCCTTTTTTTACGAACAATATAGTTGTTAGTTGTATAATGTTTATTTATTTTTGTATTAAAAAATGTTTGAAAAAAATAATATATATTTCTGTTTTCCTAATAATCTAACTTTAATTTTTTTATTTTTTTAAAAATATACAAAAAATTTTCCCTAAAAAATGAATTTAATTTCATAAGTTATTAACGTATTATGGCATATCAACACTATTTTAGGAACTTCTTTAGTCTTTAACTTTCACAAATAATTATATAAAATAATTATAATTTATAACTTCAGGATATTAATTGTATTATTTTTTATACGTTTTATTTCTTTTAATTTATTATTTTCAACATGAAAACAAAAATATTTACTGTGTTTATTTTATGTTTTGTATTATTTAAGAGTATTTCCAGATACCTAATATGAAGAAATATTACAATACATCAAATGTATAACCAATGACATTTTTCTTTTATTATGTACAGTGTATATTATGTTAAATTTTATTTTTACATAGATATTATTATATCAAATTAATGCCTTAAGCTAGAATTATAAGAATATCAACACTATTGTTTTTCTTTATATAAAATGTAATATGTTCACTTTTCATTATTATATTTATTTATCCTTAGATTTATAACTGTCCACGATAGTAATTAAATGTTTTTGCTTATTTTATTTAATAAATAAAGAAAAAATGAACAATAAATTTTAATACTGAAAAAAGAATTTACTACTGCTTTTTCTAGTGTGTAAAATGAAACAGCAAGAACGCTTATATGTAATTTTTCGTCTTTATATAACCGTTTATAAAAATGGTATTCTGAATAGTGTTATTTTAAAATTTTCAATATATGCTAATGTGAATAAGTGAATATACTTCTATATATTTTTATTATTTTATATTCACATAAAAATTAGTTACAAGAATATATTTTTCTTTTTTTCTAGTAATTTATTCTCTACAAAGTAAAAAATATAAAATATTTGTGACTGCAGTGAAACTTAGATATATAAAATTCAATTTTATATTTTGCTCTTAATGAAAGGACTTTCTATTATCACAATGTGTTCGAAAATTAAAGCTTTATTTATTTAATATCAATATTATAGAAAATTAATCATAGTTTTACATATATTAAATTCTTAAAATGAAAATTATTGTGTTTAAAATAAAAAAACATACATATTTTTTATTGGGTAATTTAAATTCAAGATTCCATATATATAACTGAAAATAAGGAAAAATTATCCACAACATAGTAAAATTAAGGTAAAGTATTACGAAATACTGTTATTTTCCTAACTTTAGAAATGCATTTCCTTAACCTTTAAATTGTAAAAGAAATATTCATAAAAGGAGGAATAAATAATAATATTTTTACAAGATTTCTTAAATAAAAAAAATATTATTTAAGTAGAATTGTGATTATTAGAAAATATTCTTATGAAAAAAATCTTAAGTTTGAATTTATATCTTAATAAAAAAATTCCATCTTATTATAACATTTTATTCTACTTATAATAAGAAAAATTAGGAAGTAAATAAGTTTCATAACTTTTTATAAGAGAAAATAAACTTTAATTACAAAACATTTCATAATTTATTTTATAATTTAAAATATTTTGCATAACTTAAATACGAAATCAGTGAATTATAAATTATAAGAATTTTAAAAAATTTCTTATATTAAAACATTAATATATCATGGATATCAAGGGTGTAATTTCATTAGGTATTAAATTAGTAAAAATGTAAATACCTGTTATTTGTAACTAAATATTTTGTAGTTATTTTATATAATTGTATAATTTTTATTTCTGAAATACCATGGATACCTTCCATGAATTTTCTTTTATATCTACAACATTTAAATTTTCAAAATTAGTGTATAAAATGTATTTTATGGTATCCTTTTTTATTATTATTACTTAAAAAGGAATATTATTAATTATTAATACACAAGAGAAAACAAAATTTTATTTCCATGTGAAAGGTAAACATTCATTTAATTCTATAAAAATCTAAGGTTTATTAATATGATATTTTTGTTATGCTAAAATTTATGTTGCATTTTTTTTTCTATTATATATTTTGCAACAAAATAAAATTTCTTTTTTAGATTTAATTCAACATTATATAAACTATTGTAACAACGTAGATATAATTCATATTTACAAAATTTTCGAGAAATATTGTCGATTAAGGATTATTATATTTATATAAAAATATAAGTATTTTCTTTTGGTAATCTCAAAACATATAATAAATACCATTTATATTTTCTTTTTTTCGAAGACTAAGAACTTTACTAATTTAAAAAATAATTAATGTGCTCTAAAATATGACATTTACTTATTGTGATAAATTTTGTTTATTATTATTAAATATTCCCTATTCATGATAATACAAAAATAAGAAAATCATAATTACATTAAAAAAGTTTTGAAATTGAAGAAATCTATATTAAAAAAAAAATGGATATTTTAAAAGTAAATTAAACATATTTTTTTTCTAATTGTTAATATAATAAGGATCATTACATTACACTAAAAGAAATTAAAAAATATGGAATAACAATTTCAAAATAAAATATGATATGTGCCTAATATTCAAATTTTATATGATAGTATCTTACATAATGAAAGTTGTAGAATCCTATTTTTCAAATAAATAATCTCTAATTTAAAAGTGGAGTATTAATAAAATTTAAATTTTCACATGTAAAAAAAGGAGCAAATTTTCAGTGGACAATTTTCAAGGTATTTTTAAAAATAAGATATATAAAAAAATATGCTTTTATGGATATTTTCAGTTATAACGTTTATAGACTAAAGTAATAACCCCAATACATAAAAACTATTCGTTTAAATCTAAAGATAAATATGAGACATTTTAGTAATGATACACTAATATTATAAAAGCTATATTATTCTTAAAAACATATAACATATTTTTTGTAAGATATAATTCAAAAAATTATATCAGATTTTACTGAAATTTTATGCAGAAATATATCTATTGTTCTTATATTACATTTAATATTTTGAATATTTATAAACTGAATTTATTGCAGAATTTTTCATTTATTTAATAATTATATTAATAAAATATATTTTTTTTTCTTTATCAGCAATGGTAAAATATAGAATTTCTATTATAATTTCACCATATAAAAATTCATATATTTAAATATCTTCAAAAGAATGTTTTAGATTTTATAAATGAATATATAATGTTAATAAAATTGTTAAAATCCTAAGAAAAAGTATTTTCTTTTAATTATTGAACATTTATATTTAACGTTGTATTAACTGCATAAAGACTACATATGAAAATGACACAAAATTGTGGATTATAAAATTTTATAGTATTTCTACTTTTAATGAAAAAAAAATTTTTACGATACTAAAACAGAAAGAATTACAAATTTTTAATAAAATATATATAAAATAGTTCAAACTATAGAAACATTTCTAGTTATTTTTCGAAAAAGAAGCGCGTAAAATTTTTTAATTTATACTTTCAGTATATGTTAAAAATTTAATACACATGTAATGATTACGTAAGTTTCTTGTATTTTCAACTAAAATGTTAAATATTATAATACAAATTTTAGAAATATATTCATTTTTTCCTTTAAAACTTTTAAAAATTTAATATAATATTTTATACTCTTAATCATAGCAACAGTCTTACTTTCTGTAATGTTAGTCTTGATATATAATTTTTTTTTTTTGTGTAGAATATATTTTTATTATTAATTTATGTTTATAAAAAGTTTTTATTGTAAATAAAAAAAAAAAAAGTTAATATTTTATGCATAGATTATTAAATAAAAGCACACTATTATAAATGTATATAATATTTTATATTATTTAATAAATGGAAAAAAATCGCATAAATTAGTAAATATTAAAATATGTTAATTTTTAAGCTTTAAATAACTCCTGTAATTGTTTGAAAAATAAAAAAAATGAAAAAAAGTAAATATTTATAAAAAATAAAGAAATTAAAAAAAAATTACGTTTAAAATAAGTATATATCAATAAAAGAATAATATATATTTATAATATACTGTTTCATGATTTCAAAAAATAATTTTTTAATAAAACCTATAATGCTATTTAAAATATACAAAATTACAAAAGTTCAATAAATTATTAATTTTTATTATATATTTCTGTCTTTTTTTTATTTTATTTCCAATATTTTTCTAAGATTATGATTATGTTTAAGATAATCATTGTTTAAAAAAAAGTTTATTAAATTTCAATTTAGTTGCTCACATTTCCATTTAGACCTTCGTCTACTGTATTAGTTACTTTTTCTTCAATATTACTTTTTTTTGACCCCTTTTTTTCTTTTTTAGTATTTAATTCTGATGTTACAGGATTTTTAATTTCTTCAACATTATTGGAATTTACTGAGTTGTCCTTATTGTCTTCATCATAATTATCTAATGATTTATCTCTGTCACTCTTATTTCCTGCATTAGGCAAACTTTTAAAATCTTCATTTTCACTTGATCTACAATTATTTTCATAATTTTCATTTTTATAATCTTTTTCATCTGCGTTTTTACCTTTTTTTTCATTTTTATAATTGTTTTTTGAATTTTTCTCAACAGTTTTGTTATTTTCGTCATTACTTCCATTTCTTTCTGAGCTATTGTATCTAACTGAATTGCTTTGAGATTTATCACTTTTTCTAACCTCACATAAGTCATCATTACTTTTATCTTCTTTATTTTTTTTATCCTCACGTGAGCTACTTTTATAATCGGATCTTTCAGTTACACTGCGGCTTCTTTTTCTCTTAGATTTTTTTTCAATACTTGAGCTATTTCCTCTTTTTGAACTTTTATTTTTACTTGTACTTCTTTTTCTACTTTCACTTCTATCATCACTTAAACTTCTTTTTCTACTTTCACTTCTATCATCACTTAAACTTCTTTTTCTACTCTCACTCCTATCATCACTTAAACTTCTTTTTCTACTTTCACTTCTATCTTCACTTGAACTTCTTTTTCTACTTTTGCTTCTATCGTCACTCGAACTTCTTTTTCTACTTTTTACTCTATCTTCGCTTGCACTTCTTTGTCTACTTTCACTTTTGTCATTGCTTATGCTTTTATTATCACTTGAACTTCTTTTACTAAAACTTTTATTTTTTTCACTTTCTTTTTCTCTATCTGTGCTAGATTTTTTGCTTAATCTATCACTTGAGTTTTCATGATATTCGCGTTTATTTTTTTTTTTTTTGTAATTTCTATCATCACTTCTTGATGAATTACTAGATCCACTTCTACTTATTTGATCATTTTTTTTTTCTTCTGAGCTATAGCTTCTTTTACCTTTATGGCCACTTTTTTTTTTACCTCTACTTTTATCGTATTTACTCCTATTTTTGTAGCTTTCTTTATTATCACTTAAGCTATCACTATCAGAATCATATTTATTGTTTCTTTTATTTGATGAATTGCTATATTTATTATGTTTTCTTGATCTTGATCTATTTCTAATAGATGACTCTGATTCATCGCTATACCTGCGTCTTCTTTTATATCTAGGGCTATAGTAATCATTTCTATATCTTTTCATATAAGAAGAACCCCTTTTGTCTCTTCTTACTTTAATGTTTGTAACTTGATCATAAACTTTAAATTCTGCACCATCAAATTTTTCAATAGCATATAGCATATCATCATAACTAATAAATTCTACTATACCTTTACCACGCTCAATATTAGCATAACCCACATCACCACATTGTCTCATAATATCTTTTAAATGCTGCCATTTACAGTTATCTGGCAAATTACTGACAATAACTCGATTATCAGTTCTTAAAGGAGGGCCAATTCCTTCATCTTTTTTTCTGTAATATTTTCCATAGCTGTAAAAAATAAAATAATATTTATATTATAACTTTTTTTTTTTTTCATGCGTCTTAAAAAAAAAAAAAATGTTATACCTCCTATTTTCCCCTGAAAATTCAACGCGTAAACGAAATCCATCAAATTTATACCCATCTCTTCTTTCTATTGCATATTCTGCATCTCTAAGAACAAAAAAATAAAATAAAATAAAAATATAAAGCATTAGTATTTCATTTTGTAAAATACATGTAAATAAAATTATGGATGTATAAATAACTATTGTGTCCATCAATATTATTTTTTTTAATTTTATTTATTTAAAAACACAGGTATATTTATAGTTATATAATCATTTTTCATGCTTTATAATAATATTATAGGGATCCATACTAAATGATTTTCATATACATATACAAAGGGGTTCATGAAACGTTTCACAAAAAAAAAAAATTATTTCATATTTTTTTTGTAAATTCAAAAATATGAAATACTTTTGTAATATTTATTACTTAACGAATAAAAAAAATAATGTTTTCATTTATTACTGAACAATATTTATTCCAGATATACAACATTTTACAAAACTACAAAACTTTTTTTATCATTCAAAGAAAAAACTCATATTCTTACAATTTTTAAATTCACAATTCACATAAAAATCAACGGTTTAAATATTGCTTAATGGTCAACGAAAAAAAAAAAAGAAAAAATAACTAAAACCAATTTTTTCTTTTTTTAATGCAACAAATATGTAACTAATATACAACAATGTAACTATTATAATGAAAACCCCTATTGTTCATGTGTAATTCCCCCATAATAAATGGTTCATGAAAGCTGATAATATTCAACATAATTTATATATACATATATATACATATATATATTATATACATATGTATATAAAAATATATATTAATGATATATTTTTATCATTCTTCCATTTTTTATCTTATTCTTACTTGACATCGCAGTAATGTACAAAAGCATATGAAGTAGAGCTAGAGGATCTTGCTTTTTTTATATCAATGTATTTTATACGACCAAACTATATAAAAAAATAAAACAAATAAAAAATATATAAATATTTTTCATAATTATGATAAAAATTAAGTATATATATTATACACACAAAAAATTATACAAAACATTATATAAATTGAAATGATAAAAATAATAAATTAGTTCTTGAAAAAAATATAAAAATTTAATAAAAAAAACTATAATCAAATTTAATATATATAATGTTCAGTTATATAAAGATATAAAATCTATATTTATGAATATATATAAATATAAACCTTTCCAAATAAGTCATAAACTTCTTCTTCTATGACATTGCCTGGTAAATTTCCTACATATATGCATGAAGGGGATCTGTTGTACCTTGAAGATTTATAGCTCATTTTGTTTATTAAATTAAATTATATTAAATTACAATACATTAAAATATAAAGATTTATATTAATTTTGCAAAAATATATCTTAACAATTCATTAAAATGTATATATAAAATATAAATGTTTTTAAGAAAAAAAAAAGAGAGAAAAAGAAAAAGAAAAAAAAAATATATCAATGCACGTAAAACAAAACAAAAATTAACAGAAACTATATAAAAGCTTTAAAATCCCTTCAAAAATTAAAATTAATTATCCAGCATATTTCATATACATTTTTCTAATGATTTATATAATTTTAAAGAATTTTATTATTTATATCAATAAAATGCAATTACATAAAATCAAAGAGTCTATTTAACAATTTAACATTTAATTTATTTTGATAATTAAAATTATTTAGCGAATAAATAAATAAAAAAAAAAAATGTTTAAGCGAAAGATGGATTTTTTGTAAGTTCATATTTTGCTTACTATTCAAAATATTGAAAAAATATTTAATATAAATTTTTTTTGAGAAATTGTTTAATATGAAATGAAAAAATAAAAAAATATATACATATATATATTTATAAATTAAAAATAATCAATTACGTTGGATTTATTTTAAATAATGAACATTTTATTGTTAAAAAGTTAAAAAAAAAAATATGTTTTACATATAATTTTCTTTAGTACTCTTGTGCATTAAAAAAAAAAAAAAAAAAAAAATGCATTTATTTGTAGGCAAACATGAATTAAAAATGATAAAAAAAAAATATACTTTTTAAAATTTTAATATAAATTAATTTTAATAATTTTTTTCTCTTATAGAGCGTTATTTATTTATTTATTTATTTTTTTTTTTTTTTTTGTAGTATAACGAAAAACCAAAGATACTTTTTATTTAAATCTAATTTTAATAAAATAATTTATAAATTGTAAAAGCATTAATCACTTGTAAAAAATTGGTAGTTAAGAAGGTACCTTTTTATTAGGTATTTTTAAATTTCTGAGATGTTGAAAGAATAAAAATTAAAGGATAAAATAGCAATCGTTGAATTTATATTTTATTATATTTCTAAAAAATATCTCACCTTTATTTTGCAAAATTTTTATATGTAACTTATAAATGAAATTCTCTAATTCTAATATATATATATAAATTACAAAATTCTTAAGTACTAAAATTAGCATTTTTTCTTAGCGAAATTCGAAATTTATGTGGAAAAAGAAAAAAAAATAAAATAAATAAGTTAATAGAATAAGTGAATAAAAGACTTATTACGAAAGAAAATATCTCATATTTCTTAACATATATGAACATAATTTTTCTTTTTTTTAGAAAAAGGAAATATTTTAAATAGAAAAGCATGTTATATAAAATATAATATGAAACACAGAGTTAAAAAATTATGAATGTATATTTAAAAAAAAGTTATAATGGAAAAATAAATGTGAAAAGTTGGTATGGTTAAGTATTGATTTTTACATATAAAATTTCTATCACTTTCATTAAATGATGTAATATATTAAAGTTTATACATAAAAATGTTTTAATAATTTTGAAGAGATTTATTAATTGAATTAATTTATTGAAATATGTCTTTTTTTTAACTTCATATAATATTTAATAAAATTATAAATATGAAGAATATAAAATAGATTATTTAATATTACACATACTAATATTTTTTTTCTGTATTATTTATTTAGTAGGTTCTATACTTCTCGAAAATTTAAGTAGGAATGTTTTAAAAGTATGTTTTAAAAAAATTTTAAAAATATAAAAAAAGGAGACATGAAATATATTTCCATTTTTTTTATATAATTTATTTGTAAAACTATATATAATTGTGCATATTCCATTTTTAAATTGCATTTATTAAATTTTCATGAATTTCTTAAATTTTAAAAAATAAAGAATACTTTTCATATATATGTATATATTTTAATATTTAAATTATATTTAATTATGAATTTAAGGATTATCTTAAAATTAATTACTCTAAAAATGAGAAAAATTTAATAAAGCATATAAAGTCATTAGTTTTTATCAACTTTTGTTTTTTGGGTATTGTTTTTCATCATTAAAAAAAGGAAGAACACTAAAATTAATGTTAAAATTAAGAGTAAATAGGTTTATATTTTATCTCTTTTTTCTTTTTTTCTCATTAATGAGAAGAAAATTAAAGCATTGCTGTAGTAAATATAGCTGTTTTATTACAATATACCAACTCACATAGAAAAATTAATGAAAAATAAAAAACAAGCATATTTAAAAATTAACGTAATATTAACTTTTGTAAATGAAAAATATATTTCTAATATATTCTTTTTGAGAATGAAATTTTTTTATTAAATATATACATATTTATATAAAAAAACAAAAAAACATAATGCACTCAATTTATTATTTAAGATATTATAAATTATAAAGAACATAAATTTAAAAAGTTTTATCACAATAATGTTTTTTTTTTATTCAAATTCTTCAATTTTTATATAATTTTTTTCACATATTTTTTTTAAATTATGTATATCTACTGATTTAGGTCTTTCTAAAGGATACATTAACCCTCTAGATAAAACTAATTGGGACATTACACCTATAGATCTGGAAAGAGCAAAAAGAACTGTATAATATTCGGGATATTTAATACCATAATGATACAATAGTGAACCACTATAACAATCTACATTAGGATAAGGATTTTTAACTTTACCCGTAGCTGAAAGAATTCCAGGTATTACTTCATAACACTTTTCAAGTATTTGGATCAATGGATCATCTGGAAAATGAGTTAGAGCAAAGTTTCTAAAGGCCAAAAATCGAGGATCAGGAATTCTTAAAACTGCATGACCATATCCAGGTATAACTCTACCAGAGTTCAGAGTGTCTTTAGTATATTTTTCAATGAACTCATGAGTTAACTGATTATCACCTAACTTTTTTTTTATATCTAATAAAAATCTTAGGCATTCTTGATTAGCTAATCCATGCAATGGGCCAGATAATGCTATAGCGCATCCAGAAAAGGACAAATATGGGTTTCCTAAAGTACTTCCTATTAAATGAGATACATGAGCACTTGCATTTCCCCCTTCATGATCACTATGCAAGATAAAATAAAGTCTTAATAAATCTCTTATTTGATTATCATCATAACCTATTAATTTAGTGAAATTAGCTGACCAATCAAGATCATTATCTAAATGCATACCTTCTCCCTTTTTTATATTATTGTCTATAAACGTTCTTTTAAAAATGTAAGCACCAATAACTTGAATTTGTGCTATTAAAGAAACTGCATCCTCTAAAATATACTTCCAATAATCAGTTTTTGATAGTCCTTCAGAATATTTTAATTTAAATAGGGATAAGGACTCTAAAAAAGATACTGTGGTTACTAATTGACTCATGGGATGGGTAAATGGTGGTATATTATCCATAAATTCAAAAACAAATGATGGAATTTTTTTAGCTCTGTAGTATAATTCTCTCGAAAAAAGTTTTAAGTCATCTTTTGTAGGTATTTCCTTTGTTAACAAAAACCAAAACATCGCTTCGGCGACAGGATATTCACAGTTTGTATCCCATTTTGGAAATTCTTTTAAAATTTGTTCTACAGGTTTTCCTCTAAATAAAATTCCTTTCTTTTTTTCTAAAATGGAAGTATCCGTAATTAAGGTTATTGTGTTTCGTAATCCACCAATTACATTATTCGGTGTGCATATAGATATAGGCGTATTGGGATAAGTATGCATAATTTCTTTTAGTTGCTCTCTTGTTTTCTGTATGCAATCGTAGGTTTTTTCCTTTAAAATATTCATTATAACAGATTCCTCGTTATCTATATTATTAATATGTTCTCTAATCTTTCCATAATTTTCCAAGTATAAATTTTTATAAGCTGAATTACTTGAAAAATAACGAATATTGTCTCTATTCAAAAAATTATTCTTTCTATATAAGTCAGAAACTGAAATATTAAAAGATCGTTTCTCATCTGTCACTTTAATATTTGTTAATGATTTATTATATAAATTCCTTTTATGTGTATGGTGCAAATATTTTTTTTCTGGATGATTAATAAATACTTTATTAATTTCACCTTTAGTAATAGCTTTATTATATGATATCTTTCTTATTTTTTCCATTTTAATATAGGAGTGTTATTAATTTTAATGTATTTTTTTTTTTTTATAATAAATAATAATTTTCTGTATAAATAAGGCATTAAAGGATTATGTAAATTATTTTAAAGCTTTTTGTAAAACAAAATTGATTTACAAGATATGGACAATTAAAAGGAAAATATTATTTGATTAGGTATAAAATGGCTTTAATTTATGGTTAATTTTTTATTTGTTTAAAAATTTTTTTTTTTTAAATAAAATTTTAGTACTCCAAAAATAATGAATGTGATAATATAAAAAATTATATTTTTTGTAAATAAAAGTCTAAAAAGTGTGCATTTTAGATGTATAGCAAAAAAAAAAAAAAAAAAAAAAAAAAAAAAAAAAAAAAAAAAAAA